TTTATAACAGCAGCAAGACAACGACATCAAGTTATAGCATTACGTTTACAAGAAAAATTTTTAATGATGATGATTAATGAAAAAACAGTTTATTTAAATAGTTCAAGATTATTTTGGAAATTAGATTCATGGGAACATGATTTAAAACGACGACGACGTTTAATACGTAATCCAAATGGTTCTATACATAATGAAGCAACACAAAAATCATCATTTAATGGTATTAATGATGATATAATAATACCTTTTATACGAGAAGAAAATTTATTAAAACAATTAAAACAACAAAAAATGCAAAATTTTAATCAAACAATAACAGATAATGATGAAATATTACAAGTTGATGAAAAAGATCTTGATCAAGATTTTTCAGGACCAATACGTTTTTCAACAGAATGTTCATTAATTTGTGGTATTAATATAATACGTGGTACTTTAGCTATGATACATAATGCTATGTTATTTGATGCTGATGAATATGATGAAAGTTTTATAAAAATTGATTCAAAAGTAAAAAATTAAGAAATTATTAAAAATCATACATATTATATTTTTTTAAATGTTTCCTTATATTGATAATATTCATGGAAAATGGCATTTTAATGAAATACGAGCTATATTTTCAAGAGGATATCTTTTACAAGATAAAGCATTAGAAATATTTGTTTCAAATAGAAGTATGAGTTAAATAGATAATTTTTCTTAAGTGCATTTAAAATTATACTTTAGACTATAAAACTTATAAATAATATCATTTTTCATTTGAGCAAGAAATTATTCATCCTTACTTCTATAATAAATAGATTTTTGGAGGTTTTTTTTGAATAGTTCAATTTTGATAGTTCCAATAACATTGAAGATGAAATGAACTTGATTCATATCCATAGGAATCCTTTCTTACCTTTGGTAGAACCTGAAATTTGTTCAAGCATGTCAATTTAGTAATCCTTAATATATATAGATAATATGGTAAATTAGATTTATTGGTCTTGCTATGAAATTCTCTTGCGAAAAACCT